CTATAAAAACTAAGCCCCATATAAATGATATATATGAATATTATTTACTGTCTATATAACTAAAACAAGAGAAAAATTAATTATCAAATTATCAAAAATATGAAATGTTGAGTAAAAAGTTACATTGTTTAAACGCAAATAAAAAGCTTGTTTTGATAATTCCTCAGTTCTGGTTTTTATTGAAAAACGAGTTCAAGCATTTCAAATCTGTCTTGTGAGTTTTTAAAATAAAAAATGTTTTTTAAAATACATTTTGTATCTATTGCTACAAGGCTTTCAAAAATATGAATTGTAAACTGTTATAAATGTAAACATTAAATTGTTTATTTTTAACACCGACATGTATTTATGTCACTTATCTCACCATCTGTCGCCATCACTGTCCAATCCATAATCCAGCTTATTTATTAATGTCACATGTTGTTAACCAACCAATCTCAGTAGTTTTTAATTAATTATTTTTTTAAATCCAGTAATTAGCAATAATTGCTGACATTTGTAGTTACTCTTATTTTATGCTAGACATTTGTACACTTAATAGCTCTGAAAAAATCTGATTCATTGTAAATTGTAATGATATGAATAAATAAATGTCCTGTGTTTGTATTCATTCAAATTTTATTTCACAAACCTTATCACCACCATAGTCAGTATGTCTCCTTCCACAAAATAGGATGTATTCCTAAACAGGGAATTTAAAAGTTGCATTTTACATGCCATTTTGTTTTTTGATTTATTGACATTTGAAAAACAGGCTGCCTTTTTATTTCATTTTTTGCGTATCGATATATCTATATCTATTGTTATTGATGGATGTCATTTTTTTTTAAATTTATTTAAATGACTGGCAGCCATTTTTCTTCAAAAGAACTTGAATTACATACATGTATTTTAAAATTACAATGGGTAACAAACGCTAGATTAACTTCGTAAATAACATAAACAATAGTGTCCCATGAAACAGGGACATTAATATCAATGACATGTCCTTTTTTCATCAAGAGTTTTACCCAAAAGTTCAAAGTTTCTTGAACATAAAAATAAATTTCATAACCGTATGACCTTCAGTCAATATGAGCATACTATATTTGCTCTGTTATAAGTGCAAATACAGAATCTGAATCAACAAAGCTTGTATGTCACCATAATGTTTCAACCAAATGATGCTTATGAGTAATGTCTGCCATTTTGTTAGTCATTTTTAAACTTTTAATCCTGAATTATTTTTAAGATCTGGTTTTTGAAGTGAATAAAAAAGAAAATAATGCTTTATCATTGTATTCTACTGCAATTCTTTTTTAGTTGTAGCATTGGAAAACATTTTAAAAGATGTCATTTTTTTTACTTATCAGTTTCATACATGTCTGTGTTGACTATCGATCTATTAACTAGGCCCCCATTCTGAGAGTGCAACTTAGCTGCTACTGAGACATATTTTGACTTGAGAAATCCAACATGTATCATATTTATTTTATTAGAATCACATAGTTTCATAAATCCCTGTAAATACTTGTGTCAGGTTACTTCCCTTCTATTCTAATACACATGATAATTGAAATGATAGTATTAAGTAAGACTACATAATAATCTATACAGGTGGCAGTACTAATGATGCAGCTTCCCAGATGTTACCGGAATATAATCACCAAGGATCTACAGAATCAGATGACATAGCTAGTCTTCATGATGGCATCGTATTTTAGATATTGAACAAGTGTCTACTTAAAGAAATGACAGTCTAGTTTGCATGACAATGCCTAATAATGTGTTTTATTTAGTGTCGCCTCCAATTTGTCCATTTATAATGTTAATGCCAATATATTACCAATACTTGAAATTCACTAGATGCTTTATGGATCTTTGTACATGTATATATATATCTGCACATTTGTAAGATTTAGATATATATTTTATTTTATCAGTATTTTATAAATCGGGACATTGGTGGTATTCCATTTCATACCATAAATTACACCAGTACTATATTTTATGTACCGGTAATAACCTAGTTTACATTGTGTTATTTATTTTTCCTATCATTTTAGGATTTTTTAAATGTCTTGACAAACTATATATTATGATAATTAGAATTATATAATAGGATATACACATTTTTCTTCTGATCTGTGAATACAAAATTAATGCTGTTGAATTAGCATATTTTTAGCTTATTGATATGTATGATTTTTTGCTATGTATGGTTTTGTAATAAACAAAACGTAACAAATAGTTTTAAATGATGTGTGTTGATTAATTTATGCATATATTAAGGATGTAGTAGATTTTTTTTTACTTACTAGTTGTTGATCAAAATGAACATTTTCTACTCTACAGAATGTATAGCCATATCTAATTATTCTATGAACATTTCAGAGCTCTGTTGTAAATGAAACATTCATAAAACAGCATTCAAAATTAACAACTCTCATTGTTATGACTTAATTTGCATATATTTGAATAGTTAATAAATCAGTATGAAATACAAAGCTTACTAATCGTCTACATTTTATGGACATCAAAACATTGGTCGTACAAAAAAAATCAATGTAGCAAATCCACTATTCATTTATGAATATGCGAATTAGTCTTTTTTCTAATTCTGACATCAAAAAAATCAATCAAATGAGTAGTACTTAGCAGGTACTCATTAGATTTCTTCACTTTTTTCAGAATTGTAGTCGTCGTATATTAACAATAACAATTAACAATATATTTAATAAATTTGCGCATTCCGAAGACTTGGCCAACTGAATATATAAAAACAAACAACATATTCATAAAATTGCTGTTTCTCGTGTTTTATTCTATAAATTGTGGTATCCTTTTTAATTTCTTCACAGTACTCATTTGAGTCTTCAATAAAGGTTTTATTAGCTCTGCAGTCATTGAAGATGACATGCTAAACTGTTAGTATATTTGATTGTCCGTTGTTCCACATCAACTTTTTTTTTTCAAACTACTACTTCTTGAAAAGCTTCTACTATATTGCTTTTATACTTAGTTCATTTACTGGACCCCTATGAGATTTGATCATTTTGTGACAATATCTTTAATAAATGAATATTTATTTTCAACTTCCTCTTGGAAATGCTGATTGGGTTGATACTTGGTATGTACCTTGGGCGGACCTCTATTAGATTTGAATGTTTTGTAATATCTTGAACTTACTAAGTGTTCTTATTTGTGATAAGATCTAAAGACAAGAGTGGAAACACTTGTCGCTTGTTTACTTAGCAGTCACATGACCACGTGAAAGTTGCATACGCTTCTATGACAATAATTAGTTTAAATTTTACTTCCTGAAAATGTTTACTACATCCTTTAAGTATGTGTAAACCAATTTGGAAATTAATGGTCAATGTGCTCTACATTTTGCCACTCATGATATTAGAAAGTTAGTTAGGCATTTAGAGTTAGGCACTTGGAGATAGGCATTTAGAGTTAGGCATTTAGAGTTAGGCACTTGGAGATAGGCATTTAGAGTTAGGCATTTGGAGTTAGGCACTTGGAGTTAGGCATTTAGAGTTAGGCATTTAGAGTTAGGCATTTAGAGTTAGGCATTTAGAGTTAGGCATTTAGAGTTAGGCACACAGAAATGAAGACATACTAGATGATGCAGTCTTCTGTGAGGGTGATACAAGACAGGCTATTTAAGTTAAGTCTGCACTATTATCATTTGCTATTCACACTAATGTTTGCATGCTATATACAGGTAACAAGAAAACAAGAACAGTGAAATCATCTATGGTTAGAAAGTCCAATTCAGAAAGCAATCTCCATAACTTTGGTACTCATACCTAGATATTGTTACATAACAGTAGTATATATCATCTACTAATATCCATCGTTATTTAGTTTATTTATTCACTGAAGTATGTCATCTACTGATATCCATTATTATTTACTTTATTTATCCTCTGTCTAATCATCATTGAATAGTTTCAGGATTCCTGATGCAATTACTATCAATAATACTTGTATTGAAAGATTTGGGAATTCTGTCACTGTTGCTTCTTTTCTTTTCACACCGAGAAGTCCTGTGCTCAGTATTAAGGTGACCTTGCTTACAGGTTTCAATTTGGTTTAACATCTGCTTCCAAAGTAAATATTAATTGGTGAAAACCTGTAAACACTGTCATTTTCTAGGATTTAACCAAAATGTGAGAGAAATTGAATTGCCATGAGAGTGAGTGTGAATTTGTGTGAAATAGTTTAAATAAGTAAACTAGTAATGGTGATAGGGTTATCAAGCAAAGTGTGTATCTCAAAAATTCATATAACTGATTTCAAGCTCTTTTTTTTTTTACAGTGAAAACATTGTGCTGAAATGCATTTCACTATAACTGAGTTTGTTATAAACACTGGAATGCTTGAAATCATTTCAAAATACACCTGTACCACCTCACTGCATAGATTAATGCAACAATGGCAGCTCCATACCAGTACATCTCTTTGTATAATTCTTGAATGATTATTTCAGTACAAACCAGATCTAATGCACCATCTGGGTGTTGACAGCTCACTTGTTTTGTTTGCTCATTAAGGTCATTACTTGAGCTAACTTTGCAAGTGAGTATGCTTCTAGGCACAATTATGAACTGAGACAATTTTTAGTGCATTGGACCTTGTTAGTGCTACGGTATATATGATTTAACTGTAGTCCCATACAGCTCCATACCAGTAAAATTACCTTTATTTTCATAAGAGCACAGCTTCAAAAAGTCATAAATGGTAATCTTGATATTAGAGTGTTGTCTTTAATTTTTCTAGGTTCCCAGAGTACAGCAAGTATGACTCCCATGGATATGAATCCTAATATGGGTGTTGATGATTATGATGAAGATGTACCACCTACCTACTCGATGGTTACAGGTAAGCATCATGGGATTTGTCACACAGGTACAAGGTAAAACTAGCTGGTTGATGTGTAACATTTGTGAATGTGATCTGCAACAGTTGTGCGTTCTGTTCAAACAAATTCTAAAAACAAGAACTACGTGTCACTTGGTCCATTGATGTGTGTGTGTGGTGTGTGTCGTCAGAACTGAAGAAACAAACATTTGGTGTATACTGGCACTCTGTATGGCTAGTTTATATTGATGCATTCTGAGTGAGACGCATGTAGTTCAATTCATGCAGTCATGCCAAAATATTGAAATTTATTGTAGGTATAGGGACGGCACCAATGCCAAGAACATCACCATTACGTACCGTACAGAGCGCTTCATGTTTGCCCAGTATGGCCGTTACTAGTACAACTGTTACATACCCACGACGGCAAATGAGTGACCCAGTTAAGACAAATATCAGGAATGCCAATG